TAGAATTGGAGACAGCTTTGATGATGGTAGTTCATTTAGATCGGGCCTGAAGTGAAACTCCCATTTTGTTCACGTAGTCTGTGCCATTTAGAAAATATCTTGACATTTACTGGAACAATTTAAAATAGCAATTGCCAACTATATACAACAAATAACTACCCGGATTCCCGTCGTAAGAGAAAGTTAAAACAAATCGCGGAAGAAGCAGAAAGGGCTATTTGCAAAATGTCTTCAAAATAAGTTGAAAGGGGACCAAGAGGTGAGGAAACGCCATGTTACTGACATTACGTATAATTCCTCCAGTGAGAGAGTTGTTAAAGCTCCTAAGAGACCTTCGAGACCAAGCCCCTCCATGCAGAGCACATCAACTGGAGGTGAGTAAACTTCGATGATTTACGAATTCAAAGCCCTAAATTGTCGTTATTATAAGTGATTAAATATTTTAAGCATTTTTTGCCCCGTAAAGTTTTTGTCTTCAAATCTCTAAAGCTCGTTTGTCCCCTTATTAATTGTGCAGTGTCTATACCAAACCCAAGTGATAACGTGGACGAAAGCTTATTAGTAGATCATGATGATTCAAATATCTGTCATGTTCCTTCTGAGTACAATGAAGATAACGGTAAGTTCAAGAATTTGTATTTCCACTGATTAGGTTAATGTCCCCTCTGAAAGCAGCAATGATTAAATTTAACAAGCAAATTAAGCTTAAATTAAAATCAGAAGTGCATAAATTTTTGCACAACCCACTTCCTTAATGTTATTGATTTGTGGAATTCCCCACCCAAAAAGAAGTCATTAAAAACCCCAGACCACATCATAGGGTTATAATCTCTTGCTCTGTGGGTTTACAAGGCTACTTAATGTCATATAGAGCTTGCTCAATTAGTATTATTACATTATATTTCCTTTGACATTTGCATCTCTAGAAGCTCAGGTGCATACATGTAATTACGAGATCATTTCAATTTTCCAGTTGTTTTTGTGTTCGACGATAGGAGAACGCATACTAATCGGGTCATTCCCGCAGGTTTATGTCCCGCGATTTTCCAATGCCATACAATTTCATGGTTTGGACACCATCTTGGACTGACTGGCTGCGTGGCACACATGGCCTCGATCTCATGTGAAATTTTTTGACCGCCCGGAACTGGTATCTTAGACATGCAGTTAAATTACTCGTGGTAAGGGCGTTCGATATTTTGGCATTGCAGTTACTGTTTCCACAAGGTAAGTGAATCTTTTTTCACTTATTCGAATTTCCATTAACAAATATGGCTAAGGCTACTTATCAGAATATCAGAAAGCTATGCAGTAGTGTGTTTTCTAGGAAACAGACGCTGAAATTCGCCCCGGCTACGATAGCGAGTTGTGATGCATCAATTCAGCTGCTTTTCTCAGGAGATTCAACTTCTCTCCGTGCTCAGACTGTTGAGACTCGATCAGTGTATTGCCTTCAGCCAATGAGCGTTGACAAGATGAATGCAGACTATTTCAAGTCGCTGAACTATAAAGTTCAAAAGTACGAGTTTTTGACCACGTCTATAGTAGGTGGTCAACCAACAAAACACGAAAATCCCAGGTATTTAGCTAGGTGGCCTTTAGGCCTAATGACCATGTCTGTAGAGGTGGTCAAATGAACAATATTCAACCCATTTGTGTAGTTGGGCAGCCATTGAAGCAATTGACCATGAATGGTCACATATAAGCCGAGAGAAGTTGTACTGCTGAGTGCATTTGTGTATTATATGACCTTGTTTTGACAAATCATGTATCATCGGAAATTACTGATGACTTGATAAATACTTCAGTTATGTCTTGTCGAAATAGTATCATAATAGAGCCTTTTAGGAGAGAGCAAGAAATAGTGTTAGAAAAAAACAATTACAAAAGTCAACGTGAAAGAGAACCATCTAGGGTCTGCATTAAAAAGCTGCATAAAATGTTTCATTCTAAATGTTCACGTAAAAGATTAAGATGTGCCATAAATGCAAATTTCCCGAAAAGCTCTTTTATAAGAAAGATCATAATGAACTATAAATACTATCAAATGAAGTATGTATCTGATAACCTTTATAGCAAATATGTTTTTTTCTTTATTGATGTCAGAAAAGAAAAGAAGAATTCTACAATTCACAGAAAAGATCTTGTATGCCAAAGCGATTACTTGACTGCTATCTACAGTTTAAGTGGTGGTATGTATTCAGGCACTACTGATAATACCTTTACTTGGAATATTTTGGTGAATAAATTGGCTTCAATAGGTCGAGTGCCATTTGACTGTGCAAGTTCATCTGGTGATTGCTTTTTTGCATCTATGGGCCATAGCCTTTAGAGTAATGCTGATTTGCATGTACAGATTCGTTCTGCTGGAATTACTCGTATGATAAATCATCCTGAACTATATATTGAAAGTGTTGCTTATGAGTCCTGGGAACATTACATTCAGGAAATGTCCAAACAAGGAACATGGTGTGATAACATCATCATACAAGCAGTGGCA